GAGGGGTACACTGGCCCGGCCCCCGGGGGAGCGGAAACCCGCCGCACGCTCGGGGCCGCAGTTCGAGGGTGGGGAGGCGCCCGGAGGCCCACCGGCGCGCGTGCGCGAGGAGACGGGTCAGTGCTGGCCGCGGCGTCGGGGTCAACGGAGCTGCCCACGATGTCCAGCCGGGAAATGTACCAGCAGAACCCGTCGTATCTGCTCTGTGGGGGACCCCACGGCACTTAGCAGAAAGTTCACCTGAATCACAGGGTCGGGCAGGCCCCAGAAGGGTAATGTTGAGAAGAGCACGTTCATGGCGGGCGGGATAATGCTTCACTTAGCCGAACGCTGCGGAATGTGGTTTTACACAGAGAAGTTACATGCAGGAACCACTTAGGTCTATTTCTCATTACTCCTCACTGCGAACATGTCCAGCGCAGCCCGCTGGCAGTCACGGGTGGGACAGGCGCGCTCCGTGGGAGGGACGTGCATCTCGTGTCCCATGTCACGTTGGGGGAGTCTGGTCTAAGAGGGTAGAAAACGTCGTCAGGACACAAGTACATAACGGGACATAACAAGGCTTCCCAGAGGTTGAGACAGGCCTGGGACACTTTCTGTCTATCTCTAGATATCTACATACTTATATTTACTTCCAGATCTAGATCTAGTACCTATGTAATATAGTATAGTACCTATGTAGTATCTGTATCTATATGTGGTGCTTATCCATACATATAGATACTTATATGTGGCTACATACAGACATAGATATACATACTTATGTGTAGCTATATAGATACATACATATAGATACTTATGTGTGGCTATATAGATACATACATACATATACTTATGTGTGGCTATATAGATACATACATATAGATACTTATATGTGGCTATATAGATACATACATACATATACTTATTTGTGGCTATATACATACCTAGATATAGATACTTATATGTGGCTACATAGATACATACATAAATTCCAGTACATATATTTTCCAGTATATATTTAGATGTATATATATTTAAATTTCAGTATATATATATTTCCAGGGTTTTGCAATTGAGGTACATTTCAAATGCTTGTTTTTAATGAACTCTTATAGGACATAATAATCACCAATGAGACCTAACTGTGTTATTTATAAGATAATTACAGGGTGTATTGGTTTCCCAGGACTGCTGTAACAAATACCACAAACCAGGTGCCCTAAAATAACAGAAATTTATTCTGCCACAGTTCTGGAATTCCAAAGTCAAGGTGTTGGCAGGGCCATGCTCTCTCGGAAGGCTCTGGGGAGGCCGTTCCAGACTTTTCTTTCTTAGTTTCTGATATTGCTGGTTGTAGAGGCATTGCTCCGAAGTTCCTCTGACATCGCCTAGTGTTCTACCTGTCTCTCCACATGGCTGTCCCTCCGTGTGTGTCTGCCTATCTAATCGTCACTGCACAGTGATTCCCATGGTATTCACGCCTGCCACTACTGATAGCCGTGCTGGCATTTTTTAGTCCCCCCCCCACTAAAACCATGTGGGGTTCATATCCTTAACCTATATATATTTGCATCCTGGGCTTTTGTTGTTAGGGAACTTTAGATTCCTCAGGGGGAACTATAGGTCAAAGGGATGTGTATCTGCTACTTCTGTTTTCCTGGATGCCAGGAAAATAGAATCTGGCTGTAGTATGAATTTGCTTTTCCTGATTATCAGGGATACGTGCGCCTTTTCATCCCCAAGGGCTACTTCAGCCCCATAGTTCAGGAGGTGGCCCCTTGGAAGTGAGCTGATGGCAGCATTTCAAGTCTTTTTCTCTTGGGTGACATCAACGTGGAAATGAAACTCACGAGTCACGTGAGAGGGATTTCATCCCGTTTCCTTTCCATTCACATAAACGAACACATTCGATAATTCTCTGAAAGATAAGCCAAAGGTATGTGTCATGGGCAGAATAGTGGGCACCAAAGATGCCCGTGGAAACTTTGACTCTGTTACCTTCTGTGGCAAAGGGACTTTGGAGATGTGATAAATGACGTGGACCTTGAGATGCAGAGATTGTCCAGGTGGGCCAGTCTAATGTGAGTCCTTCAAAGTGGAGAACTGGCTGTGGTCTGAGTAGAAGATGTTCTATGGAGGAAGGGTCAGAGCGATGATGCTCCAATGGCTTCCAGATGGGGGAAGGGGCCACAAGCAGTGGAATGTGGGCGCCTCCAGGAGCTGGAAGAGGGAAGGAAACAGATTCTCTCCTGGAGCCCCCAGAAAAGGCAGATTTTAACCGGCTGAGACACCTGAACCCCACGACTGTAAGATAATAAATTTGTGTTATTTTAAGGCCCTAGGTTTGTAGTGATTTGTTACAGCAGCCACAGGAAACTAATACAATATGTGACCTCATAAAGCTGTTTCCAGATCATGTTTTCGGGCCCCATCTTTAAAAGGCCAGCCTGTTTCTAAGCTCAGCATAATGATAAATTAAACAAGGCTATTGCATTTCCAAACACTTTAAAAGCTTCATCATTTAAATTTACATCCTGTATGCAGGATCAGAAGACAAACGTGAATTCCAACTCGGTCTTCATCTTTCGACAGAACAAACCCTCCTATGGTCAACTGACAATCACTCTCAATCCTTTAGGGTTCTGAATTGAAATGGGTGCTTGAAATTTCCCCTACTATTTAAGTGCAAAAAAAAAAGAGAACCACAGAATTTTAAAATAGGTAGGAGCCTTGGTAGGGATCCAATCCAAGGTCGCCTCCTGTCGGGAAGTGTGGCCTGGGGCGAGCTGTTTGACACCCGTGCGCTATGGGTTTCCCAGGGTGAGCCCACAGGCCGCCTCGGGGTCAGGAGAGGTGCTGGCGCTGTGCCCACGGGCGAGCTTGGAAGCCAAAGCCTGCAGGGGGCAACCTTTCCATTCATTCAGCCCACTCGCGGAAGGCCTCACGTGTGCTGGGCCACTCTGGATGTCAGGGAAAATCAGCAAAGTGGACAAGAATCCCTGCTCTCCGTGGATGACAGTGGTCTCTCCTTGCCCACGGGGGGGGGGG